GACAGGGAAGGAGGAGCCAGGGAAGGGGCATGGGGAGAGTGCATTAATAATAATAGGTCACAAACAGATACACCATATTACCAACGACACACCATGTTTCAGGGACAAGGGGTATCTGTCAGACGATACAAAAAAGGGGGCCAAGGCCTTGAATTATCTATTAATATTGCAGATAGGTAAACGAATTTACCATAGGACATTAATTCTTTGTCCTAAAGATGGCATTTCTCATTGATGAACAAATTTTCATAGTACAGGTAGAGTCGCTAATAAAAAGAGCGGTCATAAGTTTTGAACTCAGCTGTGAATTGAATGTTCGGAACTCATGACCACTTTCATTATTCACCATCTTAATATTTTGGGGGAGAGAAACAGGGCGAGGTGACATTATTAGAGAGACAGGGAGACAGAAGGAGTGGTCAAAATAAATTAATTTTGACATGTCACAACTGTTTCTGATATACATCCAAATTGACAACATGACACTTTTACACAATTTCAGAGTCTAATTTGTACTACAATAACCTTTTTAGGTGCAGGATAAACTAAGATGCAGAGGAGGTGAGGTATATTCAACACTTAAAGGGACAGTCCACATGTTGATTGTAGGTCGAAAATTTTTTTGCTTGAATTTGTAGGAACTAAAAACACCAAAATCTAGAGAAATGTGCCTTTTCATGTATGTGAAAGTTTTAACTAAAAAGATCCAGCCATTAATTTTTAAACACCAAACTAATTAAAAGCATTATGTATGGTTTTTAAGTTTGTTACGATTTTGGAAGGTTTAAGAAACCTATACTGTACGGATTTGAGTAAAATAAACACCTAATTGTGGACAAATATGTCTCCAACGTATTCTAAAGGTTTCAACTCAATATTATAAAGCCAAACACCAAAACTAGGTCAAAATGCTTAATTAACAATTAGTACTATCAGTTTTTAATTTAACCTATCAAAAAAATTCAGTTTGATCAAGTAGATACATAAATAGCCTACCCATACTTCAGAAATATTTTCAGGTATAATTATGACATTTTTGATCACAAAAATTTTCTACAAAAAAAGCAGAAAACTCCTTTAAATAATTTTAATTCTGTAAGTTTAATGTCTAGTAATATTAGAGGTGTAGAGAAAATGCATCAAATCAGAACTATTTGGATTCATAGTGAAATTTGAACTGCAATAACCTTTTTGGGTGCGGAATAAATGAAAATAAAGAGGAGGGGTATATATTCTACACTTTTGTAAGATGGTAAGTCTAATAACATTAGAGGTGCAGAGAAAATGTGTCAAATCTGAACTATTTGAGTGTCATGGTGAAATTTGTGCTACACCATGTTTCTTAGGTGCCGAAGGAATGAAAATGCAGAGGAGCCTAAATAAATTAATGTTGATGAGATACATGGGTTTCTAATACAGCCATATTTTCAACACTACGCCCTGTTATAATTTCATAGTATATTTGTACTAAATATTATAATATTGGTCATTATAGCCTGGGTTACACTAGAACTCAACGAAGTATTCATGTCTCCCTTCAGGACGTGATAGAAGCATTCCCAGAACTGTTCCAAAACAATGGTGTAAAAGATCTGCTGTTCTCAATATATATCTGTTCAAAAGGAAGGACTGTATATTTAGTTTTTATCCGTTCAGTTGTTGGAACTGTTTTGAGAACATCATCAGAACATAATGTTTATAATGTAAACAGGGCTTAGCCATTATTCCTGATTTTATTAAGATTACAGTTGCTTCCCCTTTCAGAAACAATAGTTACAAATTCAGATTCCATGAAACAGTTATGGAGCCATCTTTCTTGTAAATACATTAATTATTTTTAAGCAGTCTTAATAGCAGACACTCTCCTTTTCAGAAACGATAGTTAAATTCTCTCAAACTGAACAAGTATAAATCATCTCTTCATTGTAAATAAACAAAATTTTTCAAACAATTTACAAATCAGACACTACCTTGAAAGATACATAGGAATAAATCCAGATTCCAACAAGCTGATCAAGTGTAAGCCATCTTTAATTTAAATACAGGTTTCTTTTCAACAATTTAACAACCCCAGATACAATACTTTCTAAACAATAGTTACAAAACCAGATTCAAACAAACAGAACAGGTATAGAACCATCTAGATCTATACTGTAAATAAATACAATTACTTCTCAAACAAATTCAAACCAGATAAAATGCTTTCTAAACAATCTGCAAGCAGAAACAGAAATGTGGGCAATTATTTCATTCGTTCTTCAAAGTTGACTAAAATTATAGTCAACACTCAGAGAAATGTTTCCATATTGTATTTGATTGATTTTGATTTATTACAATCTGTAAGATGGCTGGCAGGTCTGCTGCTACCAATGGCGGCACCAGCCTCCTGAGACTTGAGGTACAATTATGACAGAGTATCACGTCCTACTTTTCTTTGATTGGTCTTCATTTATAAAGACTATAGCTATAAATTACGTACGGCCAATTATTCAAGATATTGAATTTGGTTTTTGATGAAATGATGTGGGGTTTTCAGTACTCTTCTGCTCTAGTTAAAGCACATTAACTGCTTGATATTTAGGAATAGAAAGACATTATTGGGAAGGAGTGGTAAAATATAATATGATATTGACAGGTCACTATGATTCTAAAATACACCATATTGTTCACAACACCCTGTTCTGATTTCATAGCAAAACTTTTACTACACCGTCTTTCTTACGGACACAGTGATACAAAAAGGTGAAGGTGAAGGGGGAGGCAGGGAAGGGAAGGGGTAGACAGCGAAAGAGACAGGCAGGGGAAGACAGGGAAGGGGTAGACACAGTTATACAAAAAGGTGACGGGGGAGGCAGAGAAAGGGTAAACAGGGAATGGGTAGACAAGGAAAGAGACAGTCAGGAAACTGGTAGGCAGGAAAGGGTAGACAGGGAACGCGTAGAAAAGGAAAGAGACAGACAGGAAACGGCTAGGCAGGAAAGGGGTAGACAGGGAACGGGTAGAATAGGAAAGAGACAGACAGAAAACTGGTAGGCAGGAAAGGGTAGACAGGGAACGGGTAGAAAAGGAAAGAGACAGACAGGAAACGGCTAGGCAGGAAAGGGGTAGACAGGGAACGGGTAGAAAAGGAAAGAGACAGATAGGAAACGGCTAAGCAGGAAAGGGGTAGACAGGGAACAGGTAGAAAAGGAAAGAGACAGACAGGAAAGGGGTAGACAGGGAACGGGTAGACACAGTTATACAAAAAGGTGAAGGGGAGGCTAAATGCCTATTAAGGAGCTATTAAATTGAAATATGAGTTTCAACTAATATTATTTCCAGAATATCGACCATTTTATTAAAAATGTCAACTATTTATTTCATTTTGCTGATTAAGCATCTAATATTTAACGAAGTAGATAATGACAGGTGTTTGACCTAGTTTAATATACCGCAGGTAAATATATAATATATATATAATATCCCAGGTATAATATAAATATATTGATAGAAAATCAATCAAAAAGTTCAAACAGGTACGTTACGTTAAAACAACCCATCATAAACATGGCTTATTATAAAATTATCTTGATTTGTTGTTGAGGTCATAATTGCTGTCCACTGAACCAAATTTTGGTTTTTAATTTTGCTTGGACCAGCAGTAGCTCAACTACCAAAGCGACTGGTTGAACCAAGTCCATGGACCCCCACACACTGAAATATGCAGGAAAGCATAATTTAAAGGGACAGGTGTGCCATTTTAGGGGGTTAATTTGAACACTAGTACTGATTTGCTGAGCTAAAAAATTCACCTTTCTGAGACTAAAGTATGATTGGTCAAATAGAATAGAATCCTGTCCCTTTCAAAAAATATTTCCAGGGGGAGGGGTCCACTTATCTAGTTGAGCCACTAGCAACTAGAGTCAAATAATTGACTAAAAGGACCTCACATATCTATGGTTTCTTTCTACGGAAAATTAAACATGGTTATTTTACAAGGGAACGAGTGCACAGTATCAAATATCTCAAAAAGATAAAGACTTTGTAAAGAAAATATATAAATAATATCAAAATATCATCTTTATTCACAGAGACATGTTATTTTTTATCTAATTCTACAGTTGAGTTGTTTTACATTAATCTATCTTATAATTATAATATATATTATCACTACTAACTACCTTAAATTAACTATCTCAGCTAGATCTGATGTCAGTTATTATTCTCCGAGAGTATATAGAATATTAGGTAGTAGTATGTAAGAATTAGATCATATCAAGTCAATTTTAAGGTTAAGAAGTGGGCGGAGGGAGCAAAGCAACTTTAACTAAATATGATCTAAATTACTTAGATCCTAACACTAGCTGTCAGTCAAACTGTCATGTGGTTGAGAAATTCTTAACAATAAAGTGTGCCATTTAATAGATAATTTATCCAATGCTGATTGGATGAAAAGTGGGTTGGGTTCTATTCAAATATTAAGCATAAAATGGTCATGAATATGCAAAACAATGTATAAAGTACCACAATATTGTAGGTCAGCATCATACTTTTGTTTTCCTCCTTAAAATTTTCATATGAAACATTGAATCAGAAAAATGAATCATGATATGGCTTAACTGTTCTACAAAACTTACAAACACACTGCCTGCATACTATCTGTCCAGTTATATGTTAAATCATACACCTTCTCAATACCAAAAGAGTAAGTACGCTCTATCTACATTCAAACATCAACAATACCATTCAACATTCAAATCATTTTTAACTCTCTTTCAACTAACTTTGTGATGTATATCACTTGACAATGACATCGTAAAAAGTATACATGCTCTATCGTAACTTTCAGCATTCAGTTTCAGCATACACACAAATAAAACCTTTCAAACACAATCTAGTCTAGTCTTAAGCCTTTCTCTCCAATATGCATCCTAAATATGCATTCACACAACACGTCCAATCAAAAGTCATTCTCACTAATTGCAATGACACCAAGAAAGAGTAAGCATGCCCAGTCTTACCTGTATCCAAGCAGCCCCTAATATCCAGTACATCAATAATCTGTTCCATTCTAGCTAGTTTCTGTTTTACATCTATAGCATTCGGTAGACGCAACATGGCAGCAAACTGAAAAAAGAAATATAAAATGGGATAATGCTACATGGACAGTTTGAAAAATCTTTCTAGCAGATTATCAGCACCATTTTAATGATGACAGATGACTTATTCGAAGGGATTTTAAAGAGGTTTTCTGGCGTTTGTAAGTGTATGTGTATTTGAGACACTTCTAGCTTCTATTTGAACCATTATAATTTGAAGTCAATCGCTTAGGGTTTTGATTATTTCAGAAATTCTTGAAAAGAAATCAACATTACATGTGAGAGCTATGCAAGGTCCGATATAAACCAAACATACTTCAAGGAAAAAACTGTAGCTCAGGGATCTTAAAATTCTTGCCCCTCTTAAAGTTTAAACCCTGGACCTTCAACTTACCCTGAGTGTTTCTCTGAGGGTGACGTTTGGATAAAAAACTTCCTCCTTTAAAACATACGATAATTTACGCTTAATCTGTTTATTAAATGGTTGTCCATTGAGAGTTATTTCCCCTGTTTGATACAGGTTACGACCCATTAAGGCATTTAGTAACGTGGTCTTACCAGAACCTGAAAAACAAAAGAATTTGTATCTTTCTTGCAATTTAACTTGATTTTCGGCTCCTGAAGATAAAAAGCTGTGCTGTGCTAAATAACCTGTAAGGACCTTGGCTAGGGTTGATCTTTGGATTGGACAAATCCCCAAAAGACTATTAATAATAAATTAATAAATTTTGTATTTTTGGGTCAGTTTTGCAATATATTTCATTGGCATATGCATTTGAAATTGGAAGTTGATGCCAGTTAAATCTTCTTTTACACTCAGTTTGTCATGTTGATGAATTCATAATTATATTTCATCATCATGGTTGTGTAAATTTTAGAAAAAAAAACCACCAAGTTTATTATAGGTTATGACTCCTGAACAATAATACTGCCCGATATACCTGCAGTTATCAGTAAACAGCTTATTTTCCATAAACATTAATCATCAAATTTCTATAGTCCAAACTCTTAGAACCAACTCCTCAGGAAATAAAAAAGATCCTTACCCATGGGTCCCAGTACAGCGAGTAAATGTCCAGGTCGGGCCACCCCACTGACATTTTTTAACACTAACTTATTGTCTTTTTTAACGTTTACATTTCTCCATACTACCTCCATCCCGGAGCTGACTGGACTGTCCTTCGCTGGTTTATAAATAGCCGTCATCATTGAACACACAATCAGTTAACACACATCTGAAATTATAGAAAGTTTCCAGTTATTGAGTTAAAAATCTATGTCTCTGAAATTACTTGCCAGTGAACCATTTTCTTCTTAGTTCGGGGTCTGAGAAGATAGTCAGGTTTGTGTTGGTCACAGACAACTCTCTAATAACCAAGTTAGTATACATGGATGTACATACATCTTTGGGTACCCTATAAGCTTCAAAAATATTATGTTGCTTAGAAAAAATATTGACTCTTTTCACGATATTTATGGTGGAAGATTGGAAGAGGGGGTAGGCCTACTAGCTGCTTCAAAATGTGGCAAAAGATACAAAAAGTCAAGGCTCTGATAGTTCTAAAACTCATTTTCAAAAATTAACAATTGTAAAAACAGCAAAACTTGTTGAAAAAAACTTCCAAAAACTTGCAAAGTAATGTAAAAGTACAAAATATTCCCATAACATTGGACTATTCAGCTGAATTCAAGTCAAAAAGGGATCATTACTGACCTCTACCCCCTTTTCCTAAATAGATATATTAAATACAGTCTAAACCTCTATAGGTCTATAATAACCACTAGTTTGAATTAAATAATAGGGGTTTAAAGAGACAGAGCTACATATTCATCAGTATTGAAGACAGCCAGCTAGCTAGTCATAGAGAAGTTATTCCTACAAACATGGAGGCTATGAATTATCTAATGGGCTTGAGGTGTGAAGACTAAAGAGAAAAGAGGTATATTTTATCTCTCCTAATGCAATTCAAATTTAATCCTCAATTCCAAACTATGAAGTTAATTGGAGTAAACATGTATAAATTAGAGTTCATATAACTTGGATTTATATAACTTGAATTCATAAAGAGTTCATATAAATAAGAGTTCATATAACTTAGAGTTCATATAACTTGGAGTTCATATCACTTGGAGTTCACATAACTTGGAGTCCATATAACTTGGAGTTCATATAACTTGGAGTTCATATAACTTAGAGTCCATATAACTTGGAGTTCATATAACTTGGAGTTCATATAACTTGGAGTTCATATAACTTGGAGTTCACATAACTTGGAGTCCATATAACTTGGAGTTCATATAACTTGCAGTTCATATAACTTGGAGTTCATATAAATTAGAGTCCATATAACTTGGATTCATATAAATTAGAGTTCATATCAATTAGAGTTCATATAACTTGGAGTTCATATAACTTGGAGTTCATATAACTTGGAGTCCATATAACTTGGAGTTCATATAACTTGGAGTTCATATAACTTGGAGTTCACATAACTTGGAGTCCATATAAATTGGAGTTCATATAACTTGGAGTTCATATAAATTAGAGTCCATATAACTTGGATTCATATAAATTAGAGTTCATATCAATTAGAGTTCATATAACTTGGAGTTCATATAACTTGGAGTTCACATAACTTGGAGTTCACATAACTTGGAGTTCACATAACTTGGAGTTCATATAACTTTGAGTTCATATAACTTGGAGTTCAAGGTATATAACAGTATATGTTCAGATACTCAGGGTAATGAATTAATTTTGAGGGAGGGTGTGTCTCTTTAAAGTAAAAGACTAGCTACAAGTTAAGATACTTGTATATAAATATACATAATTTTACAACTGACCTATTTCTACCTGGTGTAACAATATAACTTGAGCTCATTCAATATTTAATATAGATTCAAGACTGAAATCAACCCCCTGAAAATGGTGAATCTGTCCCTTTAACAATATGACTTGAACTTATTCACAGTTTAATGTATATTCAAGACTGAAATCATCCCCCAAAAATTGGCCAATCTGTCCCTTTAACAATATGGTTTGAACCCATTGAAGAATTTAATGATTAACACACCATTCTAACCAAATATAATAATTTTTATGGGAAAATGTCCAGTGTATTTATTTACTTGTCATATGTTAGTAAAGATCAAATAATTTCTGTTATATTAAAATCATTAGCAATAAAAATTTATTATTCTTGACTTCAGGTAATAAAAAGAATCCAAATTTAATTTAGAAATTTAAGAAAATGCTGACAGTTGCAAAATCTGATTTAAAGGGAACCTAACAAATAATTGTATAGTTTTACAACAGGAAGACCATGAGTGAATAACTTTAGAAAGATAGCAACGTTATTTGGCCTTCTTTTGAATATTTCCACATACATGTGTACATTTCAGGTAAAACAAATCTTGACAAGACCTGTCATGAAAACTCTGGAGATTTTACAGCAGAGTCGCTTTTTCAAAACCACTGACAGGGAAACCAGATTGAGAAATCTTCCCAGAATATTAAAAGTCCTAAGTCACCAAAAATTCAGATAGGTAAAGGACCAAACACTGTTTGCAAGGTTTGCATGAGTCTAGAAGAGGTTTACTGGTACTGGAATCACTGGAATTAGAAGTATTCATTCATCAAATCTAGAAACACTAAGACTATATTCCGAATAAAAAAAGATAAGAAGTCGCACGTGAAGCAAATCATGATTACTCTTTTCAAAACAACCGATGGTACTTCTCTTTGGATTCAACTGCAATACAACTTTTACTCTCAATTTTGCCAATCTTTGGACGAGGTTTTGATCGATAGATTGTCTTGCTTGCTTTATATTTGTTAAAACTAAGCTAGTATATTAAATATTATAAAATATATTAAAATATAATGTAATACAATGTAATAAATAAATCATAAGTACCACCACCTGTTACTAGAAACTAGAAATTTATCAATAGTATGTTTTATCATATACTATATCCAATTACTCACTTCACTACCTCCTATAGTCATGGTGTTGAATCAGAGACAAAAATATTTCAAAACTTTACACATTGAAATATTATACTGAGCTATGTCCACATACATTACATTTATCTAAATAATATATACTTTATCCTATTAAAAAATTAAAGTAAAATATGCTTTATCACATAAGACCCTTCGCATTTAGTGACGTCATCAAACACTTAGTTTAGTGGAATCGAAGGAACCACAGACGTCTGATTTAAAATTGGTGCATATTGATACTTCCAATACAATAAAAAATTTAGAAAATCCCTTTACAAATCCCAAATTTAGTGCCTGCATGTTCATATTAATAAAGGTTGTAAGCTAACAGCAAGCCAACCTGCAGGAAGCGGCACCTAATTGCCTAGAAAATGATAATCCAATACTCTAGTGCAATTCTTTAAGGGTTTATATCTCTTATAACAGCATGTTGGCTGAGTATGATTCATTTTAAAATTTGATATATTCTACTAAAAAAATAATAGACTTTAACTGAAATAAAAATGTCCCCTAAGGCCACCACACACATTACATTTCATCTTGTTAATATAATATTTAAACTACCAAATACATATCAAACTTTATAGGATATATCTAGTGGTGTAGCCAGGATTGGGGAGGATTGGGGGTGGGGAGTTCGAGCAGAGTGGCTGCCTGTTTTTGATTTTAGAGGGTACTAGTCGTCACAGTAGTGACTGGAAAATTTCTTATCTAAGAAGGCAGAGAATGTCTCTAATGCTATTTTGGCAGTGAAAGTATAATAAATTTTTCATTTTATTCTGGCCCGAAGCAGGGGGCCATGGAACCATGCCCCTAAATACACCACTGTATATATCTGAATTCTTATAAGCAATGGACTCTTACCTTGCAAAATTTATGATGGCGTTACCTTGAGATTATTTTGATGGCGCTAATAATTTCCACAATATCAAACTATTTTATCCTCCCAAATTAACGTTAAGTTTTTATTCTTAACATTTGGCCCTGGCCGTCACCATGAGCCCATGAGGAGAAACAAACACCTGGCTAACATACAATCCTAGTTATAAAATAAATATTCTGAATAATATATTGATTCATGCTATTTTTAGAATATTCAGAATTCGCGAAGGTGAAACGACAACGTAGAATTAATATGAACAATGCAATTAATATACCAGAATACATCTGACTGTTTCAGTGTAGTCTAGATTAATTGGGGTGTCTGGTTTCAAACAAACATATGGCTGGATAACCTTAATCAAATTTTAGATCAACTAGACATATTAAACAAGACCTCAAATATATTGTTATTGCTTTGCAATCTTCAGACAACTGATCTATCTAGTTCTCAATACAACAATTGCAGAGTAATATAGAAATACCACTGTTAAAATAGTGCTCAATACATCCATTGTAGAGAGATATAGAAATACTACTGTTAAAATAGTGCTCAATACATCAATTGTAGAGTGATATAGAAATACTACTGTTAAAATAGTGCTCAATACATCAACTGTAGAGCCATGTAGAAATACCAGTGTTAAAATAGTGCTCAATACATCAACTGTAGAGCCATGTAGAAATACCAGTGTTAAAATAGTCCTCAATACATCAATTGTAGAGAGATATAGAAATACTACTGTTAAAATAGTGCTCAATACATCAATTGTAGAGAGATATAGAAATACCAGTGTTAAAATAGTCCTCAATACATCAATTGTAGAGAGATATAGAAATACTACTGTTAAAATAGTGCTCAATACATCAATTTTAGAGAGAAATAGAAATACCAGTGTTAAAATAGTCCTCAATACATCAATTGTAGAGAGATATAGAAATACCACTGTTAACATAGTGCTCAATACATCAATTGTAGAGAGATATAGAAATACCACTGTTAAAATAGTACTCAACACATCAATTGTAGAGAGAAATAGAAATACCAGTGTTAAAATAGTCCTCAATACATCAATTGTAGAGAGATATAGAAATACCAGTGTTAAAATAGTCCTCAATACATCAATTGTAGAGAGATATAGAAATACTACTGTTAAAATAGTGCTCAATACATCAATTTTAGAGAGAAATAGAAATACCAGGGTTAAAATAGTCCTCAATACATCAATTGTAGAGAGATATAGAAATACCACTGTTAAAATAGTGCTCAATACATCAATTGTAGAGAGAAATAGAAATACCAGTGTTAAAATAGTCCTCA